TTTCTTCCCATATGCCCGATTTCAGACCACATTTTGATTAAAACTTTTCCCTGGCCATGGACCTTGTCTAACATTACCCGTGGGTGTCTCAATCCCCTGAGCGCGAACATTGCTTCTGCTTGAAATGAAACACTAGCGCTCGCGTCATATGCACCGAAATCACAAGTCAGTTTTGGTGCTAGCGCAGTAGCGTACTGCAGTTTTGTCGCTAGCATAGTAGCACCAAATGTATTTACGGTTGTCAACTCCAGCCCCCCACCCCCCAAGAGACGAAAATATAGCCAACTCTCACCATAAATAAAGTGGGGCTTTAAAGAACTACTCTGTTGAAGGGAACGGCTGTTTCACGCGGAATCGTACTCATTTTATACACACCGATTCGAGGAACATACCGCAGAAGCACCTCATCTAGAGGAGCTCAAATAAGACTGCAGTAAACTTGAAGGAATACTTTGCGACTAGCTGGGAGCGATAACGACTTCCAGTAGTCGGTACGCTAAATCCTTCATCTGTTCAGATTTGCCCTTTTGACGACTAGAAAGTGCAGGAACGCCTGCAAGCCTATCACTCACAAGCCTCTATTGTCAGGCTCATGAGGAGCAAGCCTGACGTGCCCACATCAATGGAATGTCCTGCTGCGTCCCCTACTTGCCGCTCGTTGTCTGGCTTCTTACCTGCACCGAAGGTCTCTCTTCTTTGCAGACTAGTACAACCCCTAAAACCGAGGAGTTTCCTTGAGGGATTTCTCGATTGTTTCTTCTGCATGAGCCACACTGTCAAATGGCTCAGTTTTTCTATTATTATGTTCGGCTATTCACAACGTTGCTTCTTGCTTCACCCGTGTACGAGTAAGTAAAGTATGAGCCCCTGTGGTTCCACATTTGTCATACGTTTACCAACCATATCTGCAGCTGGGATCGCCAACATTCTATCAGTTGGGAGTCTTTGAGGAAATCGCCAACAGAGGAGAAAAGTCTAGAGCGGTGAAAACAACGTAATTGGCACCGCTTTGATTGGAATGTTTGTAGAAAGTGAGGATTCCCCCTTTAGAGTTGAAGAAACGCCTGAGCTTTACGTTTCCCTGTTAATCCCATTCTAGAATTTTCTTGAAGGCATAAGACAGGTTAATTTGGTAGCTGCTCAGCAATAGGAGCCGCGGTGCTAGTCGTCATTCGGGCAGTTGATTAGGGCGGCAAGGGTCGCGACGCGGCTGCGGCGTGTCACGAGCGCGGCGATCAGCTGTTTCCAGCCTATTTTAGCCATTTTCTCCCTAATTTACACTGTTTTGGCTGCTTTTCTCAAGATTAGTTGTTCCTTGTCTTCACAAGGTAAATTATGATTGAGATTCCTCTGATTTTTGCGTACAATTAACAGTTAAGCAGACAATTGAACAAATACCTGAAAAAATTCGCAAACCTATTACAAAAAGAAAAAAAGACTCCACGGTCTAATGTACTTCATAAAGACAATAAAACAGCTTACCTTAAAAAATAGGTAACTAAACAAACTTACCTTAACAACTTACCTTAATAAGAAGACTTTATAGAGGGGAGAAAATGATGGGAAGTTAAGCGGCCAAAATTCTGCAAAAAAAAACCGTTATTCTACACAGCGTTGGACGAGCATTTTTGGACGAGTTTCCCGTTGGCATCGTGCCAACAACCGCTACGGTAGATACGGCTGCACGTATGTACTCATATATCCATGCAGCACCGCGGCCGCTTCATATCAATCCCTTCGTTCATATTTTACTTCGCAAATGAAGCGATACGAGCATCAGCATCGGTCGGACATTTGTGGGCGGGCGGGCGGGCGCGGTGGGCGTCCGAATCGGGATGTTGCTGCTTGACAGGGCGCTATGGTATGAAGGGTACTTCCCTTGGGGAAGGCGCAACGCAGCTCCTGCTTAGGGGCGCCGAAATCTGTACGGGTAGGCGTGTCGATCCTACACGTCTTGTAATTTTCAGTGTCACTTACCTTTGAAGTCTGCTAGATGTGAATTGCAGTCGACCGCAAAGTAACTCGGTGTATTTTTCAGATTTAGCTATGGATATGAGTCAAGAACGGACATATTTGTCCACCCGTGACTTCCCGACATCTGCCGCCCCCGTTGATGAGCCGACAACGGCAGCAGCTACAACGACGACAACAACCGCTGCAAGCAGCCGTACATGGATGCTACGATACACTGGCAAATCGTATAACAGAATGGCTTACGGCTATTGATATACAGGAAAATAAGCAAAACGTGTAAAACGAAAATTTTATTTTATTTAATACAGTATAACTAAGCATAACTAATGTGTGCTATTTAACAAGTTTAGATTTACTTTTTATGCCAGTTGTTCTGGAAAGTTCTCGAATTCTTTTGTTCTGTTTGCTTGTTGTAACTATTATACAATACACTCACAATTCAGTCACCCGCCTACTTGTTTCAGACGGAATCCGGGGAGGTCCGTAAAATGAAGTTTCTAAACGATTCTTCTGCAAATGTCAGTGTTTCCCATGAGTGAGCGCACCTTAATACACTAACTTCAAACCTGTTCACTGCGGGGCATGTCAAGAGGATGGATTCCGGGCGGATCCAACCTCTTTCTTTTCTTTTCTTTTTTTTTTGTTTCGGCAAGCGACAAGGCTGTGTCATATCGCTCGTACAGTCGTTTTCAATCAACTGTTGTCGCCTACCCGCTTCCACCCCAGTGCGACTGGCATCGCTTTTGTATTAGGTTGTCCGGAAAGTTCTCAGCGTTTTGTGCACCTATTTTTTGTACATTCACTGCTGATTAAAAACTCATTCTGCCTTGCTTCTCAGTAGCACATCCTGTAGAGAATTTCTTGCGCTATCTGATGGTATAATTGCCGTTTCACCATTGCTTGATAAACCCCCTTTTTTCAAGATTTTTTCAAGCATGTGAAAAGAGCACTTCGGACGATTTTTTTCTTCGACTATAAATTGGGGCAATCCGCAATCGAAACAGCTCAACAAATTAACCAGGGGCCCAATAGTGCTAGAGAAAGCACTGTGCGGCAATGGCTCAACAAATTTCGTTCTGGAGATTTCAGCCTTGAAGATGAACCTCATAGCGGTCGACCTAAAGCAATATCTGACGAGGATTTTAGGGGATTTTGGAGGCTGACCCATCCCAAACAGTTCGAGAGATAGCAGAAGAGCTAGGCCTTGGCAAATCCACTGTTGCAGATGGTCTGGAACGCATTGGGAAGGTGAAAAAACTCGACAATTGGGTGCCCCACAATCGGAGTGACCGGCAGGAATCGGCACGTCTCGAGGTTCCTTCTGCATTGCTTTTGCGCAGCAGAAACGACCTGTTTTTGGGCCGAATTGTCACCTGTGATGAAAAATGGGTCATGTATGATAACAGGAGACGTTCCGGACAGTGGTTGGATTTCGACGAACCACCGAGGTAATTTTCAAAGCCGAACCCTCACGAAAAAAGATTCTGGTCACGGCTTGGTGGTCATCGGCTGGTGTGATCCACTATAACTTTTTATCACCAGGCCAAACCATCACAGCAGAACCCTACTGAAGAAATCGACGAATTGTACCGAAAATTTTGTCAGATGCAGCCAACACTTATCAAAAGAAAGGGTCCGATTGCATGACAACGCCCGCCCACACGTTTCACAAATATCCATAAATTGAACGAATTGGGGGTTGAAGTTCTACCTCAACCGCCATATTCTTCAGACCTTTCGCCAACCGACTAACCTTTTCTAACATTTTCAGAACTCCCTTGCTGGAAAATACTTCATCAATCAGGACCAGGCAAAAAAGCCTTAGTGGATTTCGTGAATTTTCGACCACCCAGTTTTTTACTTTGATGGGATTTCTCGACTGCTGTCACATTGGCAAAAGTGTGCTGATTCGAATGGTGCCTATTTCGATTAAATCCGATGAGTATTAAAAAAGTTACGATCGTTTAAAGTGAAACACCCAAAACGCTTTCCGGACAACCTAATATTACTCTGTAAGGCTGCGTTTATACTTTGCGGCAGCGTAGCGTAGCGTAGCGCAGCGTAGCGTAGCGCTTCCAGCGTACGCCAGCGGCAGTGCCGAAGAGAGGATGCATATCGATCTAGCTTCACCAGCGTCACCAGCGGCACGCTAGCGTACGCCAGCGTTTCTCCAGCGTTTCACCAGCGTTTTGCTAGCGTTTGCAGCGGCAGGGGAGTAGAGACTATGGGAGAGCTGGAGGGTACAAAACACATCGATTGCGCGTCTCTCACTCGCCCTTAGTCTCTACAATGCACATCGCTTCTGCGTCTCCGACGGCCCCATAGTCTCTACAATGCACATCGCTTCTGCGTCTCCGACGGCCACATAGTCTCTACAATGCACATCGCTTCTGCGTCTCCGACGGCCACATGGTCTCTACAATACACGTCGATTCCGCGTCTCTCACGGCCACATAGTCTCTACTCCCTGCCGCTGCAAGCGCTAGCAAAACGCTGGTGAAACGCTGGAGAAACGCTGGCGTACGCTAGCGTGCCGCTGGTGACGCTGGTGAAGCTAGATCGATATGCATCCTCTCTTCGGCACTGCCGCTGGCGTACGCTGGAAGCGCTACGCTACGCTGCGCTACGCTACGCTACGCTGCCGCAAAGTATAAACGCAGCCTAGGCGTGCCCTCTGTGACCTTTATCAGAGCGCGGAAGAAAATTCTGCGCGTCCAAGACAGCCGATAGGCCATTTCAGTCCGAGCGGAAGTGAAGGAGCAAGTGGTGGAGAAATGACTAAGAAAATCTGAAGGATTAGCTGTAAGCTTTCGTTCAATGATCCTGATTCTTGTATTTGTGAGGAAAACTGGTTGGCAACTGTAGAACTATTAGGTTGGCTAATAAGTAATGGCCGTTTTTTCAATTGAAAAATTTGTTCGAAAAGTGAAACGTTTTGCAAGCAAGTTATATATCATCTGATAGGAAACTTCTCGTAGTATAAGAATATCAAAAAAGCTTTGGTTGAGGATATAGTTTTTGTGAATTTTTTAGTCGTTGAAGTTGGAAGTGAAGTCGGCGAAAATTAGCATCTTCGACAACTGCCTCTATTTAGAAATTTCATGCTAATAGTTGAATTAATTGAATTTGAATTTGATATTCTAATACTACGAGAAGTTTGCTATTAAACGATGTTAAGCTTGCTTGCAAAACTTTTCACTTTTGAAACAAATTTTTCAATTGAAAAAAACGGCCATTACTTATTAGCCAGCCCACTAGCAGTTATTAGCCAGCCCACTAGCAGTTATTAGCCAGCCCACTAGCAGTGGGCTGGCTAATAAGTAATGGCCGTTTTTTCAATCGAAAAATTTGTTCCAAAAGTAAAACGTTTTGCAAGCAAGCTTAATATCGTTTAATAGCAAACTTCTCGTAGTATTAGAATATCAAATTCAAATTCAATTAATTCAACTATTAGCATGAAATTTCAGGTGGAACAGACGTGAGCCTGCCCAATATTGGCAAGGTGAAGGTTGCCAACTTTGAAATTCTTGAAATTAGTTCCAAAGCGTATTGAGATTCCCTTGCTGAGACTTCTACCTCAACCTTTTCCGAATGTATGGAGCAGCTTAAGCGATTTTAGCACTTCGAGTAGACGTAAATAGAGGCAGTTGTCGAAGATGCTAATTTTCGCCGACTTCACTTCCAACTTCAACGACTAAAAAATTCACAAAAACTATATCCTCAACCAAAGCTTTTTTGATATTCTTATACTACGAGAAGTTTCCTATCAGATGATATATAACTTGCTTGCAAAACGTTTCACTTTTCGAACAAATTTTTCAATTGAAAAAAACGGCCATTACTTATTAGCCAACCTAATATACACTTTGGCTTTGGTCACTTGACAGTGAATGCGTGAATGCGAGACGCGTGAATGCGGCTAAGCTGGCCTACCGGGAGACGGTCTTCAGGACCACGCGACGTCGCGTGCGCGGCAATCTGCAAAGCACCGCGTGCTTGCAATGGAGCGCACGCTCGCTATAAACCCACTAAGTTATTCAATAAGATGTTGCCACGCTCTCCACCCTGGTGGGACGGACTGTCATGACCTTTACATTTTGTTTTACATGCATAACTGGAGTAATCACCAAACAACTATGGTGCCGAAAAACCTGCAAGGTTATACTGGTTAGTTAATTAAGGTTATTAGCTGATCCTTTTATAATATGGCAGTCACAATGCTTTCTGGACAGAATACGCTAGAGGCTGCCCTTATTGGCGGATTGTTGAGGTACGACGGACTGTCCTGTCGAAAAAGTAGCAGCGAAATCTCAGTGTCGCGATAACTAAACCATCGCGAGCGCTCGCCGCGCCGTAACATACTGTATTTGCAGAGGTCGTACGCGACGCGCGTACCGCCACAAGTAGTACCGTCACATTCCCCGCCGTCACACGCCCATACCATAACCCGCTTAAACCCGTCTTCAAGAAGAGATTCAAAACTGGACAAATTAACGAAAATTCGAATACTGGGGTGTAAAGAGAGGTGACGTCAAACGACTCGATCACATGGTTCCTCCTGAACCTGGCCACCCGTAACTGGTCGAGCAATTGGTTGGTGTTACTGAGGTGGGCAGGGATGAACGGTAGGAGTTGGCCCAGAACCAGGTTTAGGAGCCAAGATATCCTATCGGTGGGTCCTCCTACACTGCTTATTATTGGCCGCACCTGGAAATTCGAGGGATTGGTTGAAGACAGGGTGGCCTGCGAAAGTTTGTGTGTTTTTAGGAGGACATAAAGGACAGGACACCTTGGGAGGTCACACTTTAGACGTGATTGCACAGCTTTTGTTGGCTGTGCCGCCCTTCCATACCCTGTACAACCTACGGCACTGTTTTTTGAACTCGTCCTTAGACGAAGGGCGGTAAAGGCTCTCATTCCAGGTGGGACCTCGTTATGGCCATGTCGAGCTCTTGAGGTAGCGCTACAAATTCTCCCCCCTTATCGCTGACCGATATTTTGAGGAGATTGGAGTGCGTGAGGTCTCTGAGTTCCTTAAGCCCTTCTTTCTGTGCCGGTGTGAGGTTGGAAGGGAACCGCTTCGAGCTGTTGCGACTAAGTATAGAAAATACTGATGTCGCAAACAGACGGAACTTGACGTCAACCGAAGGGTTAGGATCCTGTGGCTTGAAAACAGGGAGGGGAACGGCATTGTGGGGAAAGCTGGACCCTGTCAGAGATCGACCCTGACCATTTTCCTGCTGTTTGGCCTT